ACCTACACAAGAAATACTACAAGACATTATAAACGGTTTAGATCATGACACAAGGAGATGCAAAGACAGTCCATGCTCATGGATAGGAGAATCAATATAATTAAAATTACTATTCTTCCTAAAGAAATAAATTTAATGCAATCTCATGCAATGCAAAACACCAATTACACACAAGGAAATTTAACAAAAAATACTGAAATTTATATGAAACCATAGAAGGCCTCAACAGCAAAAGCAATCCAGAGAAAAAAGAAAAGTGGAGGTATGACATTTTTTGATGTTAAACTATACTATAAAGTGATGTTAATTAAAACAATATCATATTACCATGAAAAAATACACCTACATCAATGAGAACAGAATCCAAACCCCAGGACATCCCCGGTGGTGTAGGGGTTAAGTCTCAGCGCTATCACTGGTATAGCCTGAGATAGATCCCCAGCCAGGGAGCTACACACATGGTGCAGCAGACCTCTTCTGTCTCCCCCGCTGCTCCCCTCAGCAGTGTATTTCAGTAGATCTGCCTGTTCTGCTCCCTCTCACCCACCACACCTCTGGCCTACACCCCAGTTCTTCTGTGCATAAATAAATAAATCTTAAAAATATCAAAAGCCCAGAAATAAATCCATATACATAGCACCACTTAATTTGTGATAAAACAGGTATGACCATACAATTGTGCTGGTAAAACTGGAAGGCCATATGTAGAAGATCTGAAGTTAGATAACGAAGTCCATGCACAAAAATAAATTTAAAAATGGGTTGAAGAACTTAGATATAAGAACTGTAACAATAAAACATGTTGAAGAAAAAATTGATGATACATTCAATGACAAAGATGTTTTTGAAGACTTGACTCCTATGACTAGGGAAATAAAAGCAAAAATTAAAAAATGACATTACCTTAAGAGAATTTTTAAAGATTCAACTAAAAAGCTGTTGAAAGTAATCACAAATTAAAATTGCAGGACACAAAGTTGACACACAAAAATCAGTTGCATTTCCATATACTATTAAGGGAACCTCTGAAACTTATAAACTATCCCACTTTCAAAAGCATCAGATCAAAATAGTAAAGCAGCATTAAGTTTAACACAGGAGGGTAAGGTCTCAACACTGAACACTCTAGGACACTGATGAGAAAAATGGAAGTAGACACAAACCAAAGGAAAGACATCTTTGTATTCCTGGGTCAGAAGAATGACTGGTAAAAATTCTAACTACTTAAATCATCTATAGATTCCACCAAAGGTTTACAAAAAAAAATCCAATAGAAGCATCTGCAGAAATCGAAAAAATATTTCTAAAATGCATATATGACAAAACACCCAAATACTCAAAGCAGTTCTAAGAACAACAGAGCTGGAGGCATCACGCTTCCTGATTGCAACCTCCATTACAAATCCATAATCATGAAAACAGCATGGTGCTGGGATAAAACAGACACCTGGACCCATGAAACAAAAAGCCCTAAATTAAACTCCCACATGCATGGCTGACTCTTATTTGATAAAGGAACCAAGAACAACTATTTGGCAAGGGTTGTACCTTCAAGTCATGTTGGGAAACCTGGATAAATAAATGCAGGAAAGTGACACTGAATTTTAATCTTACACTAGTCACAAAAATTAACTCAGAATGGATCAAATACTTCAACAGAAAGCCTGACCATAAAACTCCTAAAAGAAAAGAGAAGTTCCTCACTTTGTCTTGAAAAAGATTTTTCAGAAATGAAACAACATTCTTAGTACCAACAAATAAACCAAAAGTGGAACTACATCATAATTTAAAGCTTTGGCACAAAAAAATAATAAATAAAAAAAAATCTAAAAAATGGGAGAATTTTTTTTTTTTACAAACTATATGTCAGGTAAGGGGTTAATATCTAACGTATAAATATTGTTGAAGTATATAACCTATATATATATAATATATACTAACCAAAATATATACATATATATTCTTTATATATTTCATATCGGCACATGAAATAGACATTTCCCTAAAAAGACACCTGAACCACCAACAGGTAATCAAATGATGTTCACTGTCACTAATCAACAGGAAAACGCAAATAAAAAACCACAATAAGATAGCATCTCATGGGCTTCCCTGGTGGCGCGGGCGGTTCATCACGGCGCTGCGAAGCTATCCACAGCCTCTGCAGTGCCAGTTCGATCCCCGCCAGCCGGCAAGGGTCCCACATGGCGTGGCAGGCCTCTCCTGTCTCACCCACTGCTCCCCTCAGCAGTGTAATTCGGTCAGTCTGCCTATTCCGTTTCCCGCTCTGTCTCTGGTGAAACCTCGCACCCTCCCGCACATCTGGTCTGTACCCCATTTCTTGTATAAAATAAATAAATCTTTAAAAAAAAAAAGATAGCCTCTCATACTTGTTAGAATGGTGAAAGTCAAGAAGGCATAACTATTAAATGCTGCTGAGAATTGAGAAAAAAGGGATGCAGCATGAACATCCAATATGGCAAATGGTATAAACTTTTCAGATTTAAAATAGTTTTTATGGGGCCTCCCTGGTGGCGCAAGGGGTTAAGCACCACACTATGAAGCAATCCGCAGCCTTTGTAGCACGAGTTCGATGCCTGGCTGGCCAGAGAGAAAGCATGGCAAAGCAGACCTCTCCTGTCTCGCCCACTGCTCCCTCAGCAGTATATTTAAATTAGTCTGCCTGTTTTATTCCCCACTCTCTCTGGTGAATCTTCTCACCCCCTGCATCTCTGGCTTGTACCCCAGCTCTTTATGCATAAATAAGTAAATCTTTAAAAATATATACTAAAATAAAATAGTTCCTATGATCTAGCTAAGCTATTCTGTTTATTTATACAAATAAAACAAAAATACTCAAAAAGATGTGTTACACCCAAGTTATTACAGCATTGTTCACAATAGCCCAAATATGGAATCAATCTAATGCCCATCAGTGGATGATGTGTGATATTTCTATAGCTAATGACATATAGGTATATATCAGGCTATAAGATACATAGATAGTGCTAGAGGGATATGTAGTCACACATTACACACTGGAGCATTGTTCAGCCAGGAAAAAGAAGTCCTACCACTAGTAACGACATGAATGAACCTTGAGGATTTGCTATATAAGTCAGAGAGACAAGAGATACTGTATTGAATCTCTTACAGTATAATACAAAAGAGCAAAACTCTTAAAAATCCAGGGTAGAATGGTGGTTACCAGAGACTGGGGAACATAAACCTGGCAATTGTATGGGGAATATAACAATAAAATTTATAAAAAAAAAAAAATGAGTAAATGAATGAATGAATTAACCAGTTTAAAAAAAAAAAAAAAAAAAAAGATACGATATAGTGGATATAAACAACAACATTCCCTTATAAATCTTGCTAAGAAGGGTCCCCCTAGTGGCCCAAGGTGTTAATCTCAGCTCTATAAAGCTATCTATCGGCAGCCACTGCAGTGCAAGTTCAATCCCCAGCCGAGGTGACCAACATGGTGCAGCAGACCTCTCCTGTCTCACCTGCTGCTCCCTCAGCAGTGTATTTCAGTGGATCCACCTGTTCTGTTCCCCACTCTGTCTCTGGTGAATCCTCAGACTCCCCCCCCCCCACCTCTGGACTACACCCCAGCTCTTGTACACATAAATAAAAATAAGTCTTTAAAAAAAAATCTTGCTAAGAAACTTGATTCTAATTTTCCCAACCATAAGCAAAAATAATTCTGTGACATACTGGAGATGCAAACTATTGTTATTAAGGCAGTCATATTACAATATATAAATATATCAAATCAACATGCTGTACACTTCAAATTCACAATTACATGTCCCAACATATTTAATTTGCAAGATATGCAAATGAAAAAATGTTCATCAACATTTATCAGGGAAATGCAAATCAAAACCACACTGAGATACCAAATCACACCGTTGAGAATGGCTAATATCAAAATGACAAAAAAGACGTGCTGGCAAGGGGGTGGAGAAAAAAGAACCCTCATGGGAATGCAGACTGCTCCAGCCCTATGGAAGCAGTGTGGTGGATTCTCAAAAGATTAAAAATGGATCTGCCATATGATCCAGCAATTCTACTCCTAGGCATTTGCCAAAAAATACAAACACAGCACTTGGAAAGGAAACTGGCACCCCAAGTTCACAGCAGCACTATTTATAATAGCCAAGATAGGAAAACAACGTAAGTGCCCAAAAACAAGTTGAATGGGTAAGATGGTGTGGTCTGTAGACAACGGAGTATTACTGAGCAGTAAAAAATGATAAACTAATGTGATTTGCAGCAACACAATGGCGTTGGAAGGGATGGTGCTAAATGAAATATGCCAGAAGGAGAAAGAAATACTGGATGGTGTCGCTAATATGGGGATTGTAGAGAACCAAAACTAACCCTTGAAAGATGACTACAGAATGGAAGCACCCAGAAGGAAGGGAGGTGGGAGAGGTTAAGATTAAAGAGGAAAGGAAGCACAATGGACCGTGGTAGGGGACTGGGGGTGATTTGGTGGCAGGTGCACCACGGTGGTGATACCTGATGGGGAGGATCCTAGTGTTACCTTAATTAAAAGAAATTAATAAAAATAAATGAAAACAATGGCATCCTATTAGTCCATAACAATATATATCCATTATACAAAATTTTAAATATTACCAAAGTACTTTAGAATGTCAAATTCTACATGACCATTCAGTCTTCACCCAAGAAACCAATGCGACCAGTTTAGCACTGAGTTCTCTGTACAGAATTGTACAGGGTAAAAAATAATTTTTAAACATAGATACCAGAAAATTTTCCACACTACAAGATGGTCAAGTATCAGGCTGGTAAAAACATAGTCTTTAGTTGCTAACTTCATTTTGCTAAGAAACTGAATGAGTAAATTGTAAAGTTTTTTAAAACTTGTCAGTTGACACTATATATAGCAAAGTTTCTCTAATGAAAGAAAAACTGATTATTTTTTATCACTAACCTTTAAAATAATAAAGCACAGGACTTACCTGGTAGTGCAGGGGTTAAAATCTCAATGCTATCAAGCTATCACCAGCCACTGCTGCATACCCCAACTCTGGTATGCATAAATAAATCTTTAAAAAAAATGAAAAGTATAAGATGTAAAAACTTTCTCAGATAAATACATCCCTAGCAATGCATTAATAAATTAAAAACACTCGCTAAAGCAGAAATAGAAGGAAATTACTTCAGTGTATTAAAGGCCACCATCACATTCAATAGTGGAGGATTAAAAAACATTTCCTCAATAATAACAAAAAACACAGTGATCCCATGTAACCAGTCATTCACCATAAAACTGGATGTCCACGCAGAACAATTAAGCAAGGAAAAGATCGTTTTAAATGATCCAAGTAAGAACAGAAATAGTCATCTCTATTCAGAGACGACATGACATGTAAAAATCACAAAAATTTCACTTAAAAAATGAGAACTCAATTATCAATTTGTAGTATATGTACACATCAAAATGAGATGTTTCCATATGCCAGAGTATGCTTTAAAATATAAAATAAATGATATAATAACATTTACAGTCACATTACAAAAATAAAATATCTAGAATTAATGTTGAATGTGAAAATCATAAATACTATGAAATAATGCTTGAGGAACATAAAGAAGCCACAAATACAAACACACCCTAAGGTTTTTCACTGGAATTCATACTATTTTAAGGCAATTGACACCACCCAAAGTGATCTATACATTTCCTATCAAAATTCCAAGGACATTTTGGGAAAAATAGAAAAACATTCTGAAATTCATATGGAATGGCAAAGGACAGTGACTATCTAGAAAAATCTTGAAAAGGTAGAACAAGTTTGTGGATCATGCTTCCTGATTTTAAAGGCTTTCCAAAGCTGTAATTATCAAATATTGCAGAATGGACAGCAACAGAGAATGGGGACAAAATCAAGAACCCAGACAGAGATTCTCATGTCAAATAGCATTGACAAAGGTGACTCTACTACAAATGTGAAACAGACTCTTAACATTAGTGCTTGTTTGGAAAACCTAATGCCCACATGTAAAAGATGTGGACCTTTACCTAAAACCATATGCAAATAGGCACTCAAAATGGATTGAACAATGGCTAAACATAATATGTGCAACAATAAATTTCCTAAAATAAAACACAGTAATAAAGCTTCATGAAATCTGATTGTAAATGCTTTCTTGCCTCTCCGGCAGCTGCCCAAGATGCAGAAAGGAAGACCAAGGGATACAAGTGGCTCTGGCCCCACCACCGGGACACCCAGCCCAAAGGCACTTCACCCACTTTGAGGTCCTGCGACATCGACTCCAGTGGCAAAGGCTCCTTTTTAAGGTACTGAAAGTACCTTCCTCCATTACCCTGTTCACCTGGACTTTGCATGGCTGGCAGCACTCAACTGCTTAATTTGGCCCACAAGTACAGATGAGAGGCCAAACAAGACAAGCAGAGGCTTGGCTGCACTGAGCAGAAAGTGGTGGCAATGGGGATGTCCACACCACCAAGAGCAGGAGTGAATACAGTCACCTCCTTGGTGGGACAGGAAGGCTCTGCTCACAGTGACTACACATGACCTGGGTCCCATCATGCTGATTTTCTTCCTGCCTGCCTGGGTTGGAAGATGGGGCCCCCTCTGCCTTATCATGGGGAAGGCTGGGTTGGGACATGTGGTCCTCAAGTGGACTTGTACCATTACCCTTCACACAGGTTAACTCAGAAGACAAAGGAGCCAAGCTGGTGGGAGCTAGCAGGCCAGTGACAATGACAGACATGATGAGATCTGCCATCACTTGGGGGGCAACAAGCTGGGTGCAAAATCTGTGCCTCCCACTGTTAGCCGGAGAACGTGCAGGTGAACTTACCACTCAACTGGACTAAGTGTACACTGATGCATCTTCTGTACATAAAAACTCTCCTTATAAAAAATGATTTATTGGACATGACAACAAAAGCACAGGCAACAACACTGAAAACAGACAAGAGGGACTACAGAAAATGTTACACTTGTACATGTTAAATGAAGTAATCAACGAAGTGGAAAGTAATACACAGAATGTAGAAGATGTGTACAAAGCATATATCTCATAAGCAGTTAATAACAAAAGAAAGACCTTCTACAAAACATCAATAACCAAATAACACAATATATGAGCAAAATGGTTGAAGAGACATTTAACCACAGTAGACAAATGAATACCAAGCTCATGAAAGATGCCTAAAATTAATAATCATTAGTGAAATATAAATCAAAACAACAAAGAGGTATCAACTAACATCTATCAGGATGGCAAAAATTCAATAAGTGTTATCAAGGATGACTGGAGAAACTGACAGCCTATGCACTGCTGGAAGAAATATACAGTGATTGAACTACCGTGGAGAACAGTATGGAGACTTCTGAAAAAATTAAAATGGAATTATAATTCCGTCATCCCTGTTGTGGGAATATGCCCAAATCACCAAATATACCAAATTAATAAAAAGCTGGAAGAGATATTTTCACACCCATATTATTTGCAACATTATTCACACAGGGCAGTAATCATTCACAAAATCCAAATGTCCATGAACAGGTAACAAATAGCAGCATGTTCATAAAAGGGAATATTATCCAGCTTTGAAAAACAGCTATATCTTATCACATGATGCAACATGGATAAACTGTGAGATCATTACGGTAAGTGAAGAACATGAGTCACAAAAACACAAATATTTTATGATTCCACTGATGCGAGTAATCTCAGGTAGTCAATCTCAGAGAAATTAGAATGGTCCCATCCAGGGCTTAGGGTAGAGGCAAATAGGAGCTGATTGTATAACAGGCGCTAAGTAACAGTTTTGATGAAGACAAATCCTAGAGTTTGTTCAAACAACAATGTAAATATACTAACACAACTGAACTATGCATTTAAAAAGTTTAATGTAGATTAATGCCAAGAATATGGTTATAATTTTTTAAATATAAAGTAAAACATATAGAATTCACAACTTTTCAAAATAAACTTCGTTAAAGTGTGTCTCCAAGAAAAACCACAAATAAAAACATATAAGCTTTCCTCTAAAGGAACTAGGAAAAAAAGTCAAGTCAATAGAATTAAAAAAAATAAAAACGAGAGCACATAAATGAAATGAGATCAAAAACATTTTTTTTAAACCTAGCAACAACAAATGTTGGCGAGGTTGTGGAGAAAAAGTAACTCTCCTGCATTGCTGGTGGGAGTGCAAACTGGTCCAACCACTATGGAGAGCTGTGTGGAGATATCTTGACCTACTAAACATAGAGCTTCCATATGATCCAGCAATTCCACTCCTAAGTATTTACCCAAAGGACATAGAAACATTAATTCCAAAGGGCACCTGCACCCCTATGTTTATAGCAGCACTATTTACAATAGCTAAGCTTTGGAAACAACCCAAATGCCCAAAAATAGATGACTGGATCAAGAAGATGTGGTACATATACACCATGGAATATTACTCAGCAATCAAAAAAGACACACACATGCACTTTGTAGCAACATGGATGAAGCTAGAAGGGATCATGCTCAGCGAAATAAGTCAGAAAGAAAAAGAAAAATACCGGATGGTCTCACGCATAGCAGGAATTTAGAAAGCCTAAATAAGGGACCAGGAAAAAGACTAATTAATACAAAGTAAAAATCAAAATCAACAAGCAACTATAAACCAGAGACACACCACAGGGGGCGCGGGGGGGGTGGGGGGGAAGGGTAGAGGAAGGACTAGGGTCAAAATAAGGGGGGTGTGCAATTGTATGGGAAATATAACCAAAATGATAATGCACACATTGTGCAAAAATCAAAAATGATGTAAGAATTATATAAAATAAAATATTAAAATTTTTTAAAGATTTATTTATTTATTTATACAAGCACTATATAAATAAATACAGTCAGAAGCGCGGGAGGCTGAGAGAATTCACCAGAGACAGAGAGGGGAACAGAACAGGCAGACTGATGAAATACACTGCTGAGGGGAGCAGTGGGCGAGGCAAGAGAGGGCTGTCGCGCCATGTGGGACCCTCGCCGGTGGCGGGGGATCAAACCGGTGCTGCAGAGGCTGAGAGCAGCCCTGCAGCCCAGCGCTCAACCGCTGTGCCACCAAGGGAGGCCCTTAAAAATTTTTTTTAAAGATTTATTTATTTATGCATACAAGAGTTGGGGTACAGGCCAGAGATGCGGGGGCAGGTTGAAAGGATTTACCAGAGTCAGAGTGGGGAACAGAACAGGCAGATTGACCAAAGTATACTGCTAAGGGGAGCAGCGGGCGAGTCAGGAGAGGTCTGCTGTGCCATGTGAGTTGCTCCCTGGCTGGCTGGGGATCAAACTCTTGCTGCGGATTGCTTCATAGTGCAGTACTTAACCCCTTGTGGCCCCAGGGAGGACCAGAATTTTATGGGGAATCCTCAACGATGTAAAAGATATAAAAAAAATAAGTTACATGGGCCTCCCCAGTGGCGCAGCGGGTTGAGCACAGCGCTATGAAGCTGTCCGCAGCCTCTGCAGTGCAGGTTCAATTCTGGCTGGCCAGGGAGATTCCCACATGGCGCGACAGACCTTTCCTGTCTCACCTGCTGCTCCCCTCAGCAGTGCTTTCTGTCTGCCTATTCACCTCCCCACTCTGTCTCTGGTGAATCCTCTCACCCTCCCGCCCCTCTGGCCTGTACTCCAGCTATTGTTTTTTTTTTTCTTTCTTTCTTTTAAAGATTTATTTATGCAAGCACTGGGTACAGTCAGAAGCGCGGGAGGGTGAGAGAATTCACCAGAGCCAGAGTGGGAAGCAAAACAGGCAGACTGATGAAATACACTGCTGAGGGGAGCAGTGGGCAGCAGGAGAGGTCTGTGCGCCATGTGGGACCCTCGCCAGTGGTCGGGGATCGAACTGCCACTGCAGAGGCTGTGGGCAGCTTCACAGCCCAGCACTCAACCGCTGCGCCACCAGGGGAGGCCCTGTACTCCAGCTATTGTATATAAATAAAAAATACATCTTAAAAAAAATTAGTTACATTTAAAAAGACAATTCAGGGCTTCCCTGGTGGCTCAAGGGGTTAAGACACATCCTATGAAGGTATCCACAGCCATTTAGCATGAGTTCAATCCCCGGCAAGGGAGCTAGCTACCCACATGACACAGCAGACCTCTCCTGTCTCCCTGCTGCTCCCTCAGCAGTGTATTTCAGTCAATCTGCCTGTTCTGCTCCCCACTCTGTCTCTGGTGAATCCTCTCAGCCCCTGCACCTCTGACCTGTACCCCAGTTCTTGTATGCATAAATACATAAATCTTTAAAAAAAATTTTAAAAGACAATTCAAAAGATTAAAGAAACTAAGTCCTGTTTCTTTGAAAAGACAAACCCTTAGCCAGACTAAAAAAGACAAATAAAATCAAAATAAAGAGATGTTTCTAGATACTACAGAAACACAAAGAATCTCAGAGAGTATTAACACCAATACTAGGAAAAAACTAGTCAATCTAGAAAAAATTATCAAATTCTTAGAAACATACATTATATGATAGAATCAGGAAGAAACTAAATCTAAAAAGACTCTTATGAGTAAGGAATCTTTTTTTAATTACTTTTTTAAAATTTTTTTTCAAAGATTTATTTTTTTTTATGCAATAGCTGAGGTACAGGCCAGAGATGCGGGAGGATGAGAGGATTCACCAGAGACAGAGTGGGGAGCAGAACAGGCAGATGGACCGTAAGCACTGCTGAGGGGAGTAGAGGGCGCAACAGGAGGGGTCTGCTAAGTCATGTGGGAATCTCCCTGGCCGGCTGGCCGAGAATCGAACCCACACTGCAGAGGCTGCAAACAGCTTCACAGCACTGAATTCAACTGCCTGCGCCACCAGGGAGGCCCGCAAGTAAGGAATCTTGAGCAGTGAAAAAGGGGAAAAAAAAGGCCAACACCAGATGACTTTGGTAGTAAATTCTCCAAATGTTCAAAGAAAAATATCTAACATTCTCAAACTCTTCCACCTGAAGGAGGTGATCCTATACCACTACATCATATACAGTGTTGTAAACCAATGTTAATTAAAAAATAAATAAGTTAATAACAAATTGAAAAGGAGACAAACTTCCACATTTTTTTTTTTTAAAGATGTATTTATTTATTTATTTATACAAGCATTGGGTACAGTCGGAAGTGCGGGAGGGTGAGAGAATTCACCAGAGCCAGAGCGGGGAGCAGAGCAGGCAGAGGGACTGAAGTACACTGCTGAGGGGAGCAGCGGACGGCAGGAGAGGTCTGTGCACCATGCGGGACCCTCCTCCGGTGGCCGGGCAGCAGCTGAGGATCGAACCAGCGCTGCAGAGGCTGCGGGCAGCTTCGCAACCCAGCGCTCAACCGCTGCGCCACCGGGGAGGCCCCCAAACTTCCACATTTTTGAAGCAACAATTATTTCAATACCAGACAAGGAAAATCACAAACAACACTACAGACCAATATAGAATACAAATATTCTCAAGAAATTACAAGCAAAATGAATTTTTTTAAAGATTTATTTTATTTATACAAGAGCCGGGGTACAGGCCAGATGCATGGGAGGGTGAGAGGATTCATCAGAGCGGGGAACAGAACAGGCAGACCGACGAAATACACTGCTAAGGGAAACAGTGGGCGAGACAGAAGAGGTCTGCTGTGCCATGTGGGATCCTTGCCAGCAGGCCGGGATCGAACTGGCACTGCAGAGGCTGCAGACAGCTTCATAGTGCGGTGCTCAACCGCCTGCGCCACCAGGGGAGGCCCAGTAGCTGAGACTTTGTTATAGGATGAACGAAGTTCTAAGTTCCCTATGGTCTTCATTTAAAAAGAAACAAGGGCCTCCCTGGTGGCCAGCGGGTTGAGTGCCATGCTGTGAAGCTGTCCACAGCCTCTGCAGTGCGGGTTCGATCACACCGGCCGGCAAGAATCCCACATGTCGCAGCAGGCCTCTCCTGTTGTGCCTGCTGCTCCCCTCAGCAGTGTATTTCTGTCGTCTGCCTGTTCTGCTCCCCACTCTGTCTCTGGTGAATCCTCTCACCCTCCAGCGCCACTGGCCTGTACCCCAGCTCTTGTATAAAAATAAATCTTTAAAAAATAATAATAAAAATTAAAAAATAAAAAAAACAACTATGAGGTAAATAGATACACTAAACTACTTCACCCCTGAGGAATTAACAACTACAAACTACACAACTGAGGCACACAGAGTTGAAAGTTGTGATAGTTCATACAAATGAAAAGATGTTGAAGTGAAACAGAATTACATTTTCTCATCAGGGAGATGCTTTGGCCTGTACTAAAATTACTGAGTCTGACTTTGTATGGTCATGTCTGAAACGTCCACAGGCATACAAATAATAAAGTGTAATTTGTCCCCACTGTTTCCGGATCTCTGCACCAAATCCCCAAGTCTCCACAGCTCCCGATTTTCCACTTCTGATAGGAGGCAAATCCAGAACTTTGTGGGTGCTCTGGGGTGGGGTGAAGCACATCTGAGGAGGTGTGAACCTATTCTCCAGAATCATACACGGTGATGTCAAGCAGTGTGACAATAAGTAAATACATAAATACACCTATAATGGCTCAACAGAATTTCTCAGAAATGTGCACAAGTATCACCAAGTCTCCGAAAGCAAGAGCAGCAAGATTACCCAGAGCCTCACGGCCCAGGCACTCGGGGTCAAGGCCATGGCAGCTCACGGGGCACAGGAGACCCTCAGAGGGTGGAAGAGCGTGAGGAGTGTCAGAGAGGAGACGCCCCAGGACCCAGGGGCGCACTCAGGAGAAGCACTGAGCCTCTCCAGCAACAGTGCCCGGGAAGCAGGGTTTCCAAGCTACATTTAAGGTCTGGCCTCCACCTTACCTTTAGCTCGTCACCTGTATCCTCCTTTCCTCCATCCCCACCTACCTGGGAACAAGAACACAGTCTCCTTTCTCTTCACACCAGGGCTGCTGCTTTTCCTCCAAAAGTCTGGCCAGATCCGAGCCACTTTAACAGAAGGGAGAGACAACATTTGCAGGAGATTCTCAAGTTCCCTAAGTATAGATCACATTGGTACCATGTATCCTAGATATAATTTTCACTATTTTAAATGTATTTAAAATATATTGATGCACGAACCCCATAATTAATCTCTAAGATCAAAAATATTCTTTTTCTTTTATGGGGCCATTTTCTCAAACATCAGAAGGGAACAGAGGAAACTGTAGAAGATTCTAGAAAAGTATTTCCCCGAATACAGTTTTTGATAACCAAACCTTTACTGCAAAAGGCAACATTTAAAAATTCCAGAAACTTAGTTCCATTTCCAAGGACAAGTGAATCAAAAGAAAAGGATGAAAATTGGATTTTATTTTTTTTTTATTTTTTTTTAATAGAGGCATGTTTTATTTATTTGTTTATTTGTTTGTTTGTTTTGTTTATACATGCACTGGGTACAGTCAGAAGCGCGGGAGGGTGAGAGAATTCACCAGAGCCAGAGCGGGGAGCAGAGCAGGCAGAAGGACCAAAGTACACTGCTGAGGGGAGCAGCGGGCGGCAGGAGAGGTCTGCGCGCCATGTGGGACCCTCCTCTGGTGGCCGGGGAGCAGCCGGGGATTGAACCAGCGCTGCAGAGGCCGCTGGCAGCTTTGCAACCCAGCGCTCAACCGCTGCGCCACCGGGGAGGCCCGAAAATTGGATTTTAAAGTGTGGGAGACAAATCTGTTTTCCCACAGAATTTCTAGAAGTATCACTACTGTAGAGTGAAGGAGGCTGGTCACCTAGAGGAAGGGGGAAGTTAAGGTAATGATGAAACATCACAAAAAAGAATTTTTTTTTCTCCACCAATAAGCCCCCACTTTCCCCTTTAAGCAGGGGTCTGATATGCTCTTGTACAAGGCAGAAGCCCCCAGGAGACATTCTACACAGGACACAAAACTTCAAGGGTGGATTATGCATTCTGGAGGGAGGTTGTTCTCAGCCAATGTGACCATGTGCCTCAGTTTCCTAACATAACAAAGCTTGTGCAATTCCCACTGAGCCTGGTCCAGGCATTCCCACCCCTTCTTGGGACAACTCTGACCAAAGATATAAAAAGAGTTAAAACACTATTTCTGATTTAGGAAAGAGACATGAATTATCCATTAAAATATTATTTTGCCGGCCTCCCCTGATGGCGCAGGCAGTTGAATGCTGCACTGGGAAGCTGTCCCCAGGCTCTACAGCGCTGGTTCGACCCCGGCCGGCTAGCGAGGGTCCCACATGGCGTGGCAGACCTCTCCTGTCACACCCGCTGCTCCCCTCTGCAGTGTAATTCATCAGTCTCCCTGTTTTGTTCCCTGCTCTGTCTCTAATGAATCCTCTCACCCTCCCGTGCATCTGGCCTGTACCCCTGTTCTTGTATAAAATAAATAAATCTTTTAAAAAATATATTTTGCATAGTAATATTCTATAATGTATTCTTTAACTCCTAGAAGAGACAATGATGGGTCTCCCTAGTGGTGCAGGGTTTAAAGACATTGCTATTAAGCAGCCAGCCACTGTAGCATGAGTTTGATCCATTGGCCAGGGAGCTACCCACACGGTGCGGCAGACCTCTCCTGTTGTGCCTGCTGCTCCCCTCAGCAGTGTATATCAGTCAATCTGCCTGTCCTGTTCCCCACTCTGTCTCTGGTGAATCCTCTCACCCCCCACACCTCTGGCCTGTACCCCAGTTCTAGTATGCATAAATGAATAAATCTTAAAAAAAAAACAGTACCCACACCCACATGAAGAGTGGTAAGAGAAGAAAACGGTCATAAGTGAAATCAAGGTTATGCCAAAGTGTGTGGTACAAAGCAATTCATGCAGACAAAACAGTATAAAGAGAGCTGAGGTTTTTACTTCTCTAAATGTTTAATTACAGGTGTTAAGCTCTATTTTACATCATGCATTCATATTTTTTCTTTTTCTGAATATGCACAGTGAAATGACTGTAGTGTAACAAAAACACTGGGCAACGGACTCATTTATTAAATCCTCCCCTGTGGAAGCAGTGAACAAAAGTGAGATCCTTCACTTCCCCAAGCAAAAGTCAAACTATGAGGAACAAGACGAGGGGGAGCAGGTGGACTAAAAGTGCTGACTAAGCACATCTCAGTAAACTACACCCCCCCCCCCTAGGGAATGGTAGCTAGAAAATGACTTAATTCAAAACAGGAGGGTCTTTAAGAGAGCAGGTGGATGGAGTTAACGCCCGTTAATGAAGTTGGCATCAGCTGTGTTGAGAATGGACGGCAGGTGCCAGACCTGCAGAGGCCGCCTTATCCCCCTGTAGTGTTGGAGCCAAAAGTCAGTGTAAACTTAATTAAAACAATCATAAAAACAGGCCAGTATACTGCAAATGTCAGTCCAATAGTCCAGGCTCTGTACGGTCTGATGGTGCATTTCAACAGTAAGTCTCTCGTTAGCAGGACGGAAAGCAGGTTCTAAGCCCCTTCAAAGTGTTGGGGTGCCACCCCATGGCGCCCTCAGCGGAGCTGAAGGCGCCGCCATCTGGAACCTGAGCTGCATTTTCCTTCTCCCTCCAGTCTGAGCATCGCCCCAGCCCCCCCGCAGCACCCGCCCTGTAGACTCGTGGCCAGGGGACCTCTGAATCAGCCCAGGAACCCCTGGCTGCAGCCGCAGAACCACAGAACCCACTGTGGGGAAAGATTCCAAAGCAGGACAGTGACCGCCCCGCAGGGTGAGTGACTTTCAGGCTTTTCTGCCCTCCCGCCATCAGGACTGATTGGCGGCACCTGGAGCGGGGCGTGGGCACGCGCAGGTGGGTGCCCTTGTGCTGAGACTGGGCTGTGGGGGCGGCGTCAGGGGACGCCGGCAGAAGCAGAACCACGAGAGACGCAGAGAAGGCCGGAGAGCGCAGACAGAGTGAAGACTAGCTGGGGCCTGCCAGCCTCCCGGCCCCCAGCACCCCTGCCTGCCGGTTACCCGCTAAATCCCAATAAAAGCCTGAAAGGCCACCGCGGGCTCCAGACTCCTCTTACCCCGCCTGGTCGGGTCACAGAGATCCCGCCCCGTGTCCTCCTGCCACTACAGCCCCCAAGAGCAGCGCCTCCGGGGACCCCGAGACACAAGCCAAAGCTGGCGCCTCTGCTTCCAGAAGTTTCCGGAGGCAAAGCGCAGCACTGGCCCCGCGCCCCAGGTCACCCGGGCAGCTGCCGGCGCCCCTCCCCCCCCCGCGGGCTCCTCCCAGTCAGACGCGCCGGGGCAGCCACGTCCACGCGCGAGGCGCGCCCCTCAGGCTCCGGCACCGCCCGGCTCCCACCCGCGCGCGGCCGACCGTGGGGCGCTGGGCAGTCCGGCACCGGCGTCTCTTACCTGGGGACCCGCCGCTCAGCCTCCTTCCCCGCGGCCAGGCGCCTCCGCGAGTCACCCACACCCTCGCCACAGGCGGGATCGGCGCGCGCGCCCTTTACGTCCCGCCCCACGCGCACGCCCCGCCCCAGGCCCCGCCCCCACACGCACGCCCCGCCCCGGGCCCCGCCCCCACGCGCACGCCCCGCCCCTGCCCCGCCCAGGCCCCGCCTCCACGCTCACGCCCCGCCCCAGAAGGCAACTGTGCCTTCTTTAAGACAAAGAATAATAAATGTCACAACCTCTGCAAGAAGGCAAACAAACCCTTGGCCACTCTTGAAAATCATGTGATGAGTGTTATCTTCCTACCTTAATGCATGTGCTCATGCACTCACGGTTTGCTTGATATGTATAAATAAAGGCCTGCTGAGACCCTCAGCAGGACGATACCTGCACCCTGATCGAGTGTCCGCGTCTCCTCATTCCCCCTCCCCTGCATTTTCTACAATTACACCGACGCCTGTCCCATCCTTCAGGAACCCCTGACACCCAGGCTGCTGCAGCTGGCTCGCAGCAGTATGGGTCAGATGAGTTAACAACACCAAGTCATTAGAACTGCACTAGTCACACAGGAACAACCTGACTGGGAATAGCAGACACCATAGAATGTAGCTGCTATTGTCCCTCCAGCAACATATCAATTCATACAGGCGGGCATTTAGAGGACCTACATTTGCTTTGTGTATCCCCTGGGAAGGAAAAGAATGAGCTCCTAGAACAGCTGTTGAATGGCTACAACATAATGAGCAATACATTAGTTACAGAAAACTCCAAGGTGAGGAAGACAAGATACTTGAGATATTCAAGGTCACAGACCTTCCAATCAGGAAACACATATGTACAATGCACAACTAAAGTGAGAGGAGGGTCTTCCCTGGTGGCACAGTGGTTGAATGCTGGGTTGGGAAGCTGCCCGCAGGCTCTGCAGTGCCGGTTTGATCCCCCGCTGCCGGGAGAGGGTCCCACATGGCGTGTAGAGCTCTCCTGCTGCCTGCTGCTCCCCTCAGCAGTGTACTTCATCGGACTGCCTGTTCTGTTCCCTGCTCTGGCTCTGGTGAATTCTCTCACCCACCCACTCCCACCCCCACCCCCCGCACTTCTGACTGTACCCAGTGCTTGTATAAATAAATAAATAAATCTTTCCCAAAAAAATCTACTTTAAAAATAAAATAAAGTGAGGGGAAATGAATCTATAGTTTCAGAAGTGCAGAACAGAGAACCAAGTGCTGAGAGTGTGATGGTGGGATCCTTGAAGGAGGAACAGTTTATTCACTAGAGCAGGAAAGAGGAAATTCTCAGGTAAGGGCAAGAGTACGTACGTGCAAAGTTCAAAATGGTCATGGTATATATACTCCAGCGAAAGAGCTTGGCCCAGTGTGAATAAATGCCTTGCAATGCTGCAGGAGGCCTTGATGCCCCAGCCAGATAAGACACTGGCAAGCAGCGAAGCCCAAAGGGCCTCACACCGTGGGGCCGAAGCCAAAGGGCCTCACACCGTGGGGCTGAAGATTCCTTGTGCCTCACACCGTGAGGTTGAAGATGTAACATTCCTTCACTTTCTGTTCTTGGTCATAAATAAGAAAAAATTTCCCAAAAAGTACATTAGGCACTATATTATATGCATCAGTATATTGCAAATAAACGGCATGGAAAATTAGAAACTAATTATTAAACAATTTGGCCTACTTGACAATGGAAGACAACTTATTGAATATGCCTGACAAGCATTACAATACAATAATCATAGCAGGTCCTTCTATTTTGTTTTCTCTTGAAGTTTCTTGGGAAAGTTTTTAATATGAAGCTATTTGAGTTAAGGAATTTCTAGGTAGAAAAAGTTCTGATAGCTGAACTGCAGCTGGTCTCCGGCTGAAGGTCATGTGAATAGAATAGTCCTTTGATGCTTAGGCTTTAGCTGATAGGGATGCACTGGCGTTTATTCACTGTTTTAAATAATTGTCTGAATGAAAAAATAAGTAGCTTTAATGTTAGGTTTGGTTTATTATCTGTTAACCTTGAAAGCTGCCGTCTAGCTGAGACCTGTAGGGGCCAGTAGTCTATGGGAAACATAATATACTAATTGTTTATGCTTTACACATGATAATGTATTCTCTTATTATTATTACTAATAATGAATAAATAAAGACCTGCTGAGTCTCTCGGCAGAAGATACTAACACCTCACCAAGTGTCGGTGTCTCCTCATTCCCTTCCCCTCAGTCCTTAAGTTTTCAGTTCTTTCGTTTTCGCCTAGGCCGTCTCATCCTTTCAGGAACCCCTGACAAGACGTTTTGTCGGAGGCTGGTCCCCGGCATTGCAAAGAGGGAGAAGAGCTCGCAGCCAAACTGTTGTAACACCAAGTATGTAAATATATATATATATATATATATACACACTACATATATATATATGTACACTCATACATATAACATTATAATGTAACTCAACCTTTGGTATGTTGAGCTTTTCTCCATGGGGATACAGAAATGAATTGACGGCTTTGAACATTGAAGAGATGGACTGTATTTTCACAATAAAAACTATTGGCAAAATACATAGCACAGCACTATGAAGAAGGGATGGAAGGGAGAAGACCACAGGCAGAGACACCAGTTGAAGGTAATGACTGTAGTGGGTTAAAGGGATGAAGCCCGGAGCCAGATTGCCTTGCGGCTGCCTGTGTGACCCTGAGCAAACGACATAACTGGTCTCTGAGTTTCCTCATGGAAGCAGGGAGAGAAAATAAAGACCGAGCCAAGACTATGAGAATAGGGATTTATAGACACTTCAATGGAGCGAGGCCTTTGGGGTCCAGGATGATTTAGTGGAAATGTCTGCACCAGCACTAACCACTCTCTGCACTAACCAGAAGTTAGTGGGGTTCTGCAAACATGTGCTGAATGGGATTAAAGTTTTATGACCTGTATTAACTGAGATTTTATCCATGAGAAAACTCAGAGACTAGTTAAATAATTTGTCCAGAATCACAACCAGCTGCAAGTCAGTCTGGTTCCAGGATTCACCCCTTTAAGCCATACAGTAAACCTCAGGAAAGAGTACCAAATAGTAGCGAACTCAGTCTAAAGGCAGTGAATTACTCAACATAAATATATGCAACATAATCAAACCCTTGAAATGAAAGTGGAAGGGAAAAGTAAGGGAAACATTAAGTACTGGTTAACAGAAAATATCACAGAATTATTTTTCAGAGGAAGAATGAAACCATGAAATCAGACTTTTCGCAAAGCATGGTTCATAGAATCTCAATCCCCAAACACATACCATGAAAAAAAAAAGTTCTCAGGCCTCACACTTTCGGAAAATGTTGCACACCATAGTGACCCTTCAATATTTCCCATAAACACTAGCATAAAACAACTCTGAAGTTTAAAAAAGTAACATTAATAAGGACTAGAGTTTCTAAAACTTTGCATCACAGAACATTATTCAATTTCCATGAGACCCAGTGTTACTGAAAACTCACTGGGGAGCACTATACTCTGCTAAACGGCCTCCAGGTAAAAAAACACATGCTTTCAGTGGAACCACAGGAAGTATTATTTGCTATAGAAATGCAAAAACTCAAACTCATGTGAAGTTTATGAAGAATACAGTTGAGTAATTATGAAAATCATCCTAAGGCTACTGTACTTATCAGTGACTGATATTTTCATGCTAACGAATATATAAAAAAACCTTTTAAGGGCCTCCCTGGTGGCACAGGGGGTTGAGCAGGACACTGTGAGGCAGTCCACAGCCTCTGCAGTGCAAGTTTGATCCCTGGCCCGCCAGGGAGCAACCCACATGGCGTAGCAGACCTCTCCTGTCTCACCCACTGCTCCCCTCAGCAGTGTATTTCAGTCAGTCTGCCTGTTTTGTTTCCCACTATGTCTCTGGTGAACCCTCTAATCCCCCCCACACCTATGGCCTGTACCCCAGTTCTTGTATGCATAAATAAATCTTTAAAAAAAATGGACAAGCACTTATTTGTCTCACAACGTGCCTGAAACTTGGGGCCACCACACTTGGAAGATGCACAGTTGTGTAAGAAGGTTCATTGCCTAAGAGAGCCTGGGCAAAGGGACAAGTTGGGGCTCAAGTCCAGTCAGGAGGTTTGCCAAGTCGTTAAAATCCAAGCCATGTGCTCAGCGGGCAGCAGAAGCCCAGCTGGGTTACCCTTTCAAGTCCAAATAAAAACGGGCCATGCCTTACTGTGGACCTTGCTCCTCATTTGGAGGGTGAGGGGAGAAAAAAGGATTACTCAACTCTCCTTGTCGTAAGGCCTGCAAAATAAGGAGGTGGGCTCTCTTTTCAGAACAAACGTTGATTCTTTTAATTGAAGAGAGAAAGCAACTGCAGGATAACAGAGGTCAGAGACTAGTTCAAAGGGTCTTTAGGGTCCTTTTGTTCCCAATTAAATGAGAATGCAGCTGCAGTTCACGCTGTTTCCACACTCTGCCTGCAGGGGGTGCCCTTTAGCAGTCTGCCTGGAGCCCTCCATGATTTCCTGATGAAGGGCCTCACTCTCCTGGCGCATTCTCCAAAACAGGGTGAGACTCACAGCATTTTGACTTGCTCTGGGGCAGAAGTTATGGGCCTGTGGTGATAGTTATAACTCTCTTAACTGGTACAATGAAAGGCAATGGCTTTCTAGCTTTATTTTTCTAGTATGAAATGGAAAACTAGCTCACATAATTTATAAACCAACAAAATTTTTCCCAGAACATTTGCAGAAATAACCTCTTCTGGCATATTATTACATGTATCTTATCTTCGGGGAGAGAGATTCACAAATATTCAAAAGAATTGAAAGCTGGGTACACCTATGTTCATAACAGCATTATTCACAATAGCCAAAGGGTGGCAGCAACCCAAGTGTCCATCAGCACATGAATGGATAAAACAGTAAGGTAACACACAACAGAACATAGTTCAGTCTTAACAAGGAAGGAAATTCTGACATCCTACAATATGGATTAACCTGAGGACTTTAGGCTGAGAGAAAGACCCAGGTACATGATGCACATCTTTGGCTC